CATTCTAAAGTAAAAACTTTAAAATTAAAAATGTGTGATTCTTTTCCATTATTATACACAAATGATCTCACATTCTTCTGGCTTGAGAAATGAGATAAATGAAGTTTATAACTTAAAACAGCTACTTAGTATTTATCATTTACATACTATCAGAAACACATTTCACTGGGTAAAGAACAAAAAAGTACAGGCAAAAATAAAAGAAGGAAAATTCAATAAATCATATTTCTAGTCCTAATAAGGAGGGAACAATATTCATAGTCCTCCATGATTTTTATAATACCTATATTATGCTTTGATCCAATTGATATAAAATAATAATGTATATGCTTAGGAACCTGAGAGAGGTGTCTCAGAAAACAGACGGCTCTGTGACTAGCAATAGCATGAATTAGATTTATGTGGACTCTGAAGTTTCTCCAGGATACCATCTCAACTTTAAACTTGCTCTTTATCTCACTTGAGCAATACAAGTAGGAGAGAATAAAATGCTAAGTGATGTCTTACTAACTCAATGCAGACCAGAAATGGGAGACAGTAGTGTAACTCAGAAGGATCTTGAGGTTTAAATAATATTTAGAGAAATGTAGATTATATAATATAACATGTATGAAGATTGGCCATTGAAGATAACATAGCACACTGATGATTACCAAAAAAGCAAGGAGCAGAAAAGTGAAAACTGTTGCTAAAAATAGAACTGGCCATATATAGTACAGACAGGGCATTTTTGGAGAAATAATTATTATAAGGGGAGGAGAATATAAACCAGAAAACTCAAGAGAATCACATTAACTACTGATTTTCAGAAATGGAATGGCCTAAAAAAAAACAATGTACTATTAGAACTATCAAAGAATGTGACAAACATACCATTGTCCCCTAAATGATCCTGAAAAAGCACCTACTTTGCTTCTTTCTCTAGTTCTACTTTACAACTTCTTTCAGCACAATGATACACAAGACAATCTGCAAGACTATCCACAGTGGGGTCCAGGATTGCAGAATCACATGGGCTTCCCTAATAAATTTTTTACTTACACCAATAATAATAGATGGTGCTTTAAACATATAATCCTCTTTTTGGCCTAGAGAAGTGTCAAGGAAGCTTGCCCTTTTCCAAATTGTTGAGTGAAATAAAATAGAATTTTCCCATGAGAAATTAAATGTCAAGGCTGAGTAATTCTAGAGTTTATATTATTCAAATGATGCCAGAATTCCAGGCTGATTGGACAACCTAGAACTCCCAAGGACATTACACAAGAGCAAAACAAAACTCTAATGTAGGCTGCACATGACACATACACACACATAAAAAGAATTAAACCCTGATAAAAATGAACTCACATTCAAAAATTATACACCACATGAGGAAACAATTCACTACCAGAGAAAGTCAGTAGATATGATGAACTGAAATGTGTATCATACTAAAAATTTGAAATAGAGGAACAATCTCAGAATGAGCAGACAAAGTATGTTTTTAATTAAGAACTAAGAAAAATGGGAACTATAATGAAAGATACAATACTCTGGGGAAAAATAGTTGGAAGTTTTAGAGAAAGAACCAATGACACTGAAATTAAATCTCAATAGCTGGGTTAAAATATAGACTAGTTAAATTTTAGAAAGAAGAAAGAATTAGTATCATAGAAGATAGAACTATTTGGAGATAAACAGAAATAAGAGGTATGGAAACAGGATGAGAAGATTTAACGTACATAATACTGGAGGTCTAGAAAAAAAAGAATAGACATTTAAGAAGATAGCAGCTAAGAATTTCCAAGAATTGATGAAAAATATGACTGCTCTGATTAAAGAAGCACAAAACTTGTAAGCATAAAAAGGAGAAATAAAGGCTCAGTGCCTGTAGCTCAGTGACTAGGGCACTAGCTACATACAGCAGAACTGGCTGGTTTGAACCCAGCCCCGGCCTGACAAACAGCAATGACAAATACAACAAAAAAATAGCCAGGAGTTCTGGCAGGTGCCTGTAGTCTCTGATACTGGGGAGGCTGAGGCAAGAGAATCACTTAAGCCTAAGAGTTTGAGGTTGCTGTGAGCTGTGATGCCACAGCACTCTACCAAGGGCAACATAGTGAAATTCTGTCTCAAAAATTAAGAAAACTTAATTTTTTAATCTTATAAGCATAAAAAATAAAATAAATGCATGCCTCCTAGAGAATAAAAAGGCAAAGAGAAAGTCTTACAAGGAAAAAATAAGAAGAAATTAACTACAAGTAACAATCACACTTTCCCACAGCAACAAGTGTCAGAAGACAATGAAAAATATCTTCAATGTGTGGAAAGAGCTGAGGCCTTAAATCTCTATACTTAGCTAACCACAATTTCAAAATGAAAGTGAAAAAATGTATTTTCAATTCTCTAAAGACTAAGAAAAAACTGTTAAACCATGTTTTTCAGTAATAGATTTATTGAACCCAGAAGGAAAATGATAAATTAAAAAAGCAATTGTGAGCCAAGAAATTGTTAAATAATAATAATGATGATGATGATTAATTTGAGTGTGGGGAAATGTATAGCTAAACATAAGAGAAGCAAATCCTGAAAGGTGGGAGAAGACAGTAATCAGAGTTAATCATTCTACGGGGCTTGTATTGATCAGTATAAGGGTAGAGATGTTGATTAAGTTTAGAGTTGGTTAAATCAAATATGTAAGTTAAAAATTTGAGTGTAATCCCTAACTCCATACAAACAAAATTTATAATTTCTAAACTAACAGAGAGGAGAAAGCAGGGAACATAAAAACATTCAATAAAAATTAAAAGAAAAAGCGAAAGGTAGAAAAAAACATATATACAAAAAATATGAAGTAACATGATAGAAATAAATAAATTCAAGGGTATTTATAATAAATATAAATGAGTTAAATTCACTAATTAAAAAACCAAGAATTCTCAGATCAAATGTTTAATCAGATTTTTATACAGCTATATACTATTCATAGGAAATGTGATCAGTAGGAATTATGAAGGAAAGAGCTGAAAGTATAAATCATGAGTTCCAGTTAAAAATTAGAGATTCAAACCAATTTTGTGCCCTTACTTCCCTCTGAAACCCCAAATAAGAAATTTTTTTAAAAGGAATAAAGCTGAGAACACAAAGTAACAGAAGAAAAGGAGAAGTGTCAAGAAAATTTTGGAAGAAGTAATGTAGAAAGATATGTAGTAACTAACTCAGCAAAGCAGCAAAAACTGAAACCTACCAGGCAGTTGAGGTGGGTAGGAAGGTGATAGGAAGTATCTAACTTACACAGAAGAACACCAGGAATGCCCGAAATGGAGGCATCAAGTACCTCTGAAAGCCTAATGAGGGAGAATATTGAAAAGAGAAAATTTGGTTGAAATTCCACCTAAGAAAGTGGTCCTCTCTCACACAGGGCCTCTCAATTCTAGCAAAAGACCTATCTGCACCCTGAAAGGACTATAACAGATAGACTCAAACCTGGGCAAACAGGCACAGTGAAGGGAAGAGATTAGGAGCCAAACTGAAACCAAGGAAATCACTTCATGATGAGATTATAAGTGTCTTTCTTGTCTTGGAACAGAGAACATCTTACTGTCAGGCCTCACCTGCAAGCAGAAGATCAAATGTCCCACCCAAGGAAAGTGAACAGTCCCAACAAAAACAGACTGACACTTAGACTTGGATGGTGGATAAAGACCTTAGTACTCAGTTATGTAGTCAAGGAGAAAAGTAAGGATTTCTCCTTATTGCTTCATTTCAACATTGGTGTAGACTTTCAAATGGTACAATAAGATGACAAGAAAAAAAAAGAAAAGTAAAATCATATCACATACAATTGCCTACACAGAAAACACAAGAAAATGCCTAAACTATTAAAAGCTTTTAAGTTCAGCAAAATTGCTGGCCAAAGGCCAATATGCAAAAATCAACAGCCTTCTTAAACATCAGAAAAAAATCCTTAGAACATTTACTTGGGAAAAAAAAAAAATACAAAGCACAATAGTAATGAAAACTACCTATATACCTAGAAATAGAAAATTCTAACAAAAAGCATGGAAGTCCTTTATGGAGAAAATTAATAAATATAATGGAGTAGATGACCTAAATTATAGGAAATACTTTGCAGAAGACAGTATCAAAAAACACGTCTCCTCCAAAATAATCTACAATTCTAATCAAAATCTCTGTTTTTCAGGGAGCATGGCGAGCTGATCCTAAAATTCATTTTGGAGGATCAAAAGACAAGAATAGCTTAGACAATGTGAAGATGAAAAAGAAAGGGGACTCATAAAACTTACTAAGAGTTACTAAACAAGCAAACAAAAAAAGCAGCAGCTGTTGGAGGCATCTGTGGCAGCTGATGTGGCTCCAGGGATGAGCTGGTTCATGACTTAGCCTCAGCCTTGGAGCAGACATCTGAGCAGAAAAAGCTTGACAAGCTGTGGGAGGAGATGGCCCTGAGCCCTCAGCAACAGAGGTGGCAAGTTCAGAAACGCCAAGGCTGGAAGCATCGTTCTGACTTCGCTCACCTGGCAGAGCATACCTGCTGCTACAGTGAGGCCTCTGAGTCAAGTGTGGATGAAACCACTAAGGAGTATTGAGAAGTGGCCCTGGTCACCAATTTTAGTGATTCTGGTGACATAATGGTAGCCAAACAGCACCCAGCTCTCAATGTGATTGTTAAAGTAAGCAACATTCTTGGCATGAATCTGACTCTTTCACTGAAAATGCACCTTGTCAACCACGTAAGTACCAGAGGAAGGTGAAGAGAGTGACATCAGAGGTGGCTGCCAGTCTTCAGCAGGAGCTGAAGGTGTCAGACTGGAGCTATGAAAGAGGCTGCAGGTTCAAGTCTGCTAAGAAGCAGCATCTGCCCCACTGGAAGGAGAATACTCCCTGGACTTCATCAGGCCGTGGGTTGTGTGAATCAGCAGAAAATAGATTGTTCCTAAGCAAAACAGGAAGGAAAGAAAGGATGGAAGGTGAAGGTGACGACCAGAAACAGGGCTCTGATGAGAATATGTCAGAAACCAGCAGTTTTACACTGGATCTTGTACCAACGATGAAGGGCGGCAAGGACCGGGAGGAGGAGGCACAGCGTTCTCTCCTGAGCGTAAAGCTGGCTCTTGGTGTTGCTTTACTGCAATTACCACTTGCAGTAAATGATGATGATGATTGTTATTCTCTTCCTTCCAGAGAGTAAGAGGGAGAGAATACAGTCTGAGTGGTTCTGTGTTTGAAAAAAAAAAAAAAAGAGAGAGAGAGAGAAAGAGAGAACAGTGGGAAAGATCAGAGCAAGCCTTGCTCCTTCTCTTCAGCCAACCAGGACATGTTTTGGGTGGTAGGAGCCACACAGTCTCTCCTGAGTCTAGTCCCCCAACTCCCCTTGCCTTTTCCAAGAGCAAATTAGGGAAGGGGCAGAGGAGAACTCCAGAAAGATCTAGAGCATTTGTGACTCTCCTTTATCTTTTACCTACAGAAATAGTTGCATAGTTCTATTCAAATACCCTAATAATGCCATCTGAAACCTGCCTTGACTATGGTCCTTTCCTTTGTTGGTGGGGTCCTGATTTGAGGACTAAAAGCTTAGTCTTGGCTGAGATTCCTCCCTACATTTCATATTGAAAGACTTCAAACTTATAGAAAAGATGAAAGAATAGTTCAGTGTAAACTGAATATTTCTCCCCAGTGTTTCTATAAAAGCTGGAAATAGGCAGCTATTGATAATGTCATCAAGGACATCCTAATAACTAAGAAAATGACATGAAGGCTATGTTAACCAGTTTGATGAAAATATTTCATATTGTATATGAAAACACCACACTGTACCCCATGATTGCATTAATGAACACAGCTATGATTTAATTAAGAAAAAAAAAAGATAGTCATGCTTCCAGACTTTGTGGTCACCCTGTAGATTCATCATTTGTTAATTTGGGTCCACAGTTACTTTATTTTTAAATAAATCTGCATAGGCTTTTTTCTGAATCATTTAAAGTTTTAGACATCAGGCATTTCAGCTTATATCTCCTAAGAAAATCTATACTCCTATATAGCCATATTACTGTTTTCAGCCTATGAAAGTTAATATTAACGCAGTAATGTGCACCTCATTTTAAAATTTGACACTTCCACACTCCTGTCTCAGCCCGCTCAAAGTGGGTACCATGTTCGCTTGAATCATCTGCTGCATCTCGATGCCTCAGAAAGGGGCCAAGGAAGCTGGCTGGAAAGGAGACCAGCATAAGTACTTTAGGTACTGAGAGGATAAGGCGTACCTTTAACCACCCTCAGCAGAAGGATTTCTAGTTACTGTCAACAGTAAAGAGAATGAAAACAGTTTAATCCCCTCTTTCCCCTCCGCTCCTCGGAAGCTCTTGCGGATGCTTCTCACCGCAGGTGCTGGCCAGCACACTGTTCTGCCAGACAGGCTAATATACCCTGGGGACCACCATGTTCGTGTGACAACAGAGGAAACAGAAACCTGTGGCCACAGTGTCTCTCTCTAGTCCCAGTGCAGCTCATACAGATGCAATGGGCCAACCACACCAGCATCACAAGCCCCAAAATCTCCAAACTTTGAGTGGTTGATCAGGACCTCTGCAGCAGAGAAAGCCGCAGAATCAACTACAGCTACATTTTTTAAAATGCCCCAAGAAAAAACCATTGAACACAGCTAGAGAGCACTATTTCACCTGCCAGGAGCAGACCGGGTGGTGTTGAAACAAATGCCAGACTTTGTATTATATATTCCCACATATCTTAATTGACATTCCCAGTGCTTTCTACCAGAACTAACTCCTCTTCTAACACAGCAGCAGATTCTTCTCTTAGGAAATCATGTTGTGGGAATCTTTATTTATTTTTTAATTAGTAAAGTATGGAGGAGGCAGGTTTTTGTAACAGAAAGATCATCTTTTGCTCTGTTACACTGTTATTGCTGTCCCAACATTTATCTACAGCTCCATTCACAAAGCTGGGGTTTTTTTTATCGTATATGTGTTTGTTTTGCAGTCATGTCTGTTTGTGAAAAACTAGTAACTGCTTTTAATATCATTTGAGGAAGTTCCAAATTTGTAGCCTGTTCCAAACAAATTTAAGTTAAGGCCTGTATGGAACTGTGTGTGTAGGAGATACAGCTTGCTTTGAGCCTAGTCTTGATTCACTGAGATTGTCAATGAGATAAATCAACCAACTTCTCAATGCAGGGCCTCCAAAGAGACAACCAGCACCATGGGCTTTGGGAACTCCTCTCATTTTTCTGCAGATGGGACCATCAGCAGCTGCACTGTGTTTGACCTTGTCTCCAAAGTTTGTGTTCCACCAAAAGAGGACAGACACACACACACACAATCAGACTGATGTAGTGAAGAAATTGGTTCAGATGTGCAGTAAACATAATAGTCAGTGGATAGTGTCTTACTACTAACACCTCCCATCCCAGTGTCTGCCTTTATGTCCTAAGCAGGACTTTATAGTTAGTACTGTAGGTCAATAATAAGCAGCAGAACTTCATCCTCTAGCACAGCGGTTCTCAACCTGTGGGTTGTAACCCTTTTGGTGGTTGAACGATCCTTTCACAGAGGTCACCTAAGACCATCCTACATATCAGATTTTTACATTATGATTCATAACAGTAGCAAAATTACAGTTACGAAATAGCACCAAAAATAATTTTATGGTTGGAGGTCACCACAACATGAGGAACTGTATTAAAGGGTTGTGACATTAGGAAGGTTGAGAACCACTGCTCTAGCATAATAATGACTTATTGGGGCCATGTTTGGGGGAGGAAAAATGTCTCTGACATGCCTTTACATTTGGCATGTTTATGACACCTCGGCTGCATGAAGAGTTACATATATATAGTCATGCCTGAAGCTGGATACTACTTTATCAAAATGAGGAATAAGTGACTGCCCAGACCTGTTGAAGAAAAGCCACAGTTTCTAAAAAGTATTATTAACAGTGTCTATCATCAGCAGCCTGGTTGATAGAAGGGCTGTTTTTTTGTACAAATTGAGTGATTTTACTCTGGAATGCACAGAAGTTTTTACTCTAGAATGCTCACTGCTCTAACTCATTGTAGAAGAACTCCTTCCTACCCCTGCACTAACCCATTGTAGAACTCCTTCCTACCCTTACCCCTTCTTTTCTGTCTTAAATAGGTGCTGAGTGGGGCAGTGCCTCCCTTCCCCAAAGTGGGATTCTCCCTTTTTCCCACACAGAAGGTAATCATGGGCCACTTTATCATGTTCTCTTTCAAAATTACAGTCCCTATCTGTGGAAACTCCAGAATTTCTTTATAGATGAGGTGGGGAGGTGGGTGGATGTGAATGTAGTTGGAAAGGGAAACTTGAAGCTAAGTTTACACAACACTTTACGGAAGACTGATAACACATCCGTTGTTCTCCGCAGGGGACATGATGGAGGGAGGGGCAGAGAGGAATTATGGGATGGGCGGGGGGTAGTGCTAAGGCCAACCCAGCATCCTTCAGAATCACTTCTTGTTCTCAGGTGTAGTGACTGTACTTACAGGGAGTTTCAAAGCTGTACTTCCCTTCCCTGTGGGCTGCACCTATGGAAGAATAGAAAATGTAATGTGTGTTGAATATGAAATGGCAGCACTGAATTACTTTAGTGATGAAGGTATGTTTTGTTGTCATATACATTCTTACCTGGTCCCCATAGTGACCTGTGGCAGGTATTTCTAACATACTTGGCTGGGTTAAAGGGAGAAATCTATGAACATAACTTTTTTCTTTGTGTCAAGCTCTGTGGCTCATGCAGAGATTGGTCCTATGATCATGGGCTATCAATTAAAACCTCCACAGGTAGGTGGCCAAGATGTTGCTTAGTAGTCTTCTTTTCTACCTATAATTAAAAATAATCTATAATTGTGGGGATCATGCCTATAGTTTATTCTATTTGGGTACAGGTGAATTTGTCTAAAGGTTGAATATAAATGTCTTAGCATAACAATTATGAGAAAGACATGATGGCTATGTTGGCCACCTGGATGAGAGTTTTCCAAACTGCATATAGAAGTAACACACTGTATCCTATGAGAGAATTAATGTACACAACTATGATCTAATAAAAAAAAAAGAAATATAAAAAAAATAATAATCTATATATTCAGTTCAATAAATTTACAGTTTAAATAAATTTACACTTCAAGCATCTCCACAAAGTCAGGCTATTTTAGATGAAAACAGTCACAGAACTGAGTGACTTGCTCGAAATCACATAACTAAGTCAGGACAAACATCCTAGACTTTCATATTTTCTCTGGCTTGCGTTATAATCTGTTGTTAACCAGCAATAGAACTGAGTCAGTCTGAGACCAGTATTTGTGGGAAAAATATGCCATGAATGTTTATTATTTTTCTGGACCATGCTTTTCTACATATTTTGAGTAGGGATCAGCAGGGATCACCCCAGAAGGCAACATCTACCTGTAATAAATGGGAAGAAAACTAGTTGCCTGAGAGAATAGAATAGAATATTAAGTACAAAGTTTCCAGCACAAGGTTGTAATTGTCTCCTCATTTTAAGGTGCGTTGTATGCATGCTGAAGGAATTATTGATCAACTTATTCTGCTTGCTTTCCATATTAACCAACTCCTTAGGCAAACCTTAGAACTGAATGTATTCTGAATCTTAAAATTTAAATCTTTGTTTTATATGGCACAGTGTATATGTTACAAATTAAGAAAAATCTATTACCAGTCAAGGAATGATATAATTTAAAAAATCACACTTTGTAATCAGCATTAAAAAACTCTAATAGCATGATTTACTTTGAGGATGACTCCTGAGCCCATGTATTTGATCTGCTTAAAAGTAATAACTAAAAAAAAAGTTATTAAACAACTAGAATAATTAAAATCATGTATGTTAGCTCAGAGAAAGGAAACACATTTGAGTTTTAATTAATCCCCCTTTTAAGCAACCCACTTTCATCCCCCTCCCCATGTGTCCAGCCCAGTCTCTCTAGTACCCCCACCTAGAGCAATCCTTTAAACCTACTGGATCTAGAATTTATTTATTTTCCAACATATTCACCCTCCTGTGTCCTTTCACCACCTTCAACCCTCGAGTCCTTTTTTTCTCTTGGTCTTCCCCCTTTATTTTTAAATAAAATATTCTTGCAGACCCTTATCTCTTATTAAATATAACTTTGCCTTTTCTCTAAATGTACACTTGGATTGCTCAAGAGAGGAAAC